CTGGGGCAAATCACTTGACCTCTCTGTGCCTAGTTGCCTCATCTGTAAAATGAGGATAGTGACAATCTGTACCTCAAGAGGTTGCTGTGTGAATTATATAAATCCCTACGTGAAATGCTCTTTTATTTAAAATAGTGCCTGTCTCATAAGAAGAGCTCAGTAATTGTTAGCCATGATTACTTTGTCAGCATCTGCCTGTTGATGAATCACAAAGATCACGGGATCTCAGAACTGATGGGCTGCCTCCTTAGATTTCATCTTAGTGCCCCCAAATTTAAATGCACTCCACACGTCATAGCAACCCCCTTCCTTGTCCACCTCTTCCCTTTCTTCCTCACCCTATGGCTGCTGCTGGTGGAGGCTGGTTTGCTCTGTGTCAAAGTGGATGTCACCCCACTTCACTTGTTGGCAGGATTGGGGGATGGCAGGCAGGTGGGATGTGATCTCCCAGTGCAGTACTCTCAGACTTGAACATGCACACACAGCACCTGGGCATCTTGTTAAATTTTGTTAGATGTGGATTCTGATTCGGCAGGTCTGGGGTGGGGCCCACAATTTTGCATTTCTAATAAGCTCCCAAAAATACTGCCGGTTTGGGACCACTCTGTGGGTGCCAGGCCACATCATGTGTCAGCCTGTGGAAATCTAAGTAAAAGACGGTAATATTCTTGCCCAGCTGAGGACCCTAAAATAGAATTCGTGACGGGGACGGGGATGGGAGTTGCTTAGATATGCTTAGAGTGTTTGAGGGGAGCAGCTCAGAGAGTGGTGAAGCCATCGGGGCATGAAAGGTCTGTGGGGCCAGTGCTGAGATCTGTGGTGAGTATTGTAGGTAAAGTTAATAACAGCGGTTGAGGAATTGAGCTTTGGGAATTTTTTTGCTGATTTTAAATATCAGAGCTGGTTCAAGACTATTGCTTAAATAGTCTCTCTCTCTCTCTCACACATCCATGGATTTGCTACCTTGAATGGTGGACAAAGGCTGTAGTGCCCCCCAGTGCCTGGGAATGACACCAGAACCCCTTTTCCCTAAAGCCAGCTATGAAACCTAAAAATATTACCCTAGCTTGCCCTCTGCTTTCTCATAAAGAAATTATCTGACCCACCTTGTTTGACTGTAGGTCATGAGACCCCCCATTCCAGAGAGGGCCCTGCCCCACACCCCGAGGAAGGACTTCATGCTCAGAGGGGCCAAGAAGAATCCAGACCCACAGGCCTGGCTGCATTTCCCCACTCAGTCTATTAACGTTAGATCAGACCCTTTTTGTCCAATCATATTTCGACACAGCTGCCCATACTTTGTTGAACCTAAGCATAAAAATGAACAATTTCCCCTTGTATCTTTGGGTCCTCATTCTGAAGGCTCCCAGATGCACATTAAATAAATGTGTATGCCTTTTCTCTAATTAATCTGCCTTTTTCGAGTTGATTTTTCAGTGAACCTTCAGAGAATCAAGGGGAACTTTCTTCTTACACCCCACAGCATAGACAGAACTTTCTCTTTACACCCCATGGCCCCTCACATTTGAGGTGCACTTTACTCCTTTTTCTTTTTTCTTTTCTTTTTTTTTTTTTGGAGACATACTTTCACTCTTGTCGCCCAGGCTGGAGTGCGATGGCACAATCTTGGCTCACTGCAACCTCCACCTCCCAGGTTGAAGCGATTCTCCTGCCTCAGCCTCCCAAGAAGCTGTGATTACAGGTGCCCGCCACCACACCCGGCTAACTTTTGTACTTTTGGTAGAGACAGGGTTTCACATGTTGGTCAGGCTGGTCTCGAACTCCTGACCTCAGGTGATCTGCCCATCTCGGCCTCCCAAATTGCTGAGATTACAGGCATGAACCACCGTGCTCGGCCTTTACTCCTTTTTCAAAGCTACAAACAGGAGTCCTCCCTGCCATCCTTCTCCCAGTGTCTTCCCTCAGAGACGATATCAGGCGCCAAGACAATATGACCGTCTAGTACAGTGAATCTGCCCTCCGCTCTCTGGTATGCTCAGATGCCAGAGAAACCTTCCCAGAAGAGGTCACAGAGAAGGGGCTGGACTTGTTCGAGTCCAATCCTGCTCACTGTTGCCTGGCTTCCCTTAGGCCAGGCTTGTGCTAGTTTGAAAAATGGCCTTATGATAATGAGCACTAAAAGCACTCTACAGACCGGGTGCCCTGGGAAGACGTTCAGGGACTCAGCCTTCCCCAGCTCCCTTCCCTCCACTGCCAGCTCTCAGCATTGTGCACTTTTAATCTCCCACACGGCTGCCAGCGTACTACACATTTGTATCTGTCACTTCAGATCCCCCCGCATGGCTGCTCTCAGCCAACTGGGAGCCTTCTCCTTTTTCCCAGCATGTTCCCCGAGGACCACTCAGCCCTTGATAAAGGCTTCCACTTTCTTTTGTTTCTCTTGGTGAGAAAACCCCTCCTCCTACCTTTCAGAGCCTGCCCAGGCTTGGGCACCCCCTACCTGCAGCCTACTGCTGCAGGTACAGCTTCCCTCCCATCCCTCTCCCTGCAGGAGAATCCTGGTGCTCCAATGCCCTCCCGACACAGGTCAATGTAACAGTATCCCAGAATTTCATGATGGCCCTCTAATTCCTATAGCCAGAAGGGACCTCAGAAGTTTTTTTAAAAAATTTATTGTGGTTAAGAAAACCACACAACAATTGATTTCCCCTTTTAACCATTCGTAAGTGTTCAGTAGTGTTAAGTATAATATATATTGTTGGGCAACAGATCTCTAGACAATTTTCATCTTGAAAAATTGAAACTCTGTAACCATTAAACACTAATCTCCCCTCTCCCCTTCCCTCAGTCCTTGGCCACCACCTTTTCTACTTTCTGTTTGTATGATTTTAACTACTTTAGATACATCATATGAGTGGAATCATATGGTATTTCTTCTTTTGTGAATGTCTTATTTCATCTAGCATAATGTCCATCCATGCTGTAGCACATGACAAGATTTCCTTCTTTTTTAAGGCTGCATAATATTCCATTGTATGGATATACCACATCTCTTTATCTGTTCATCTATTGATAGACATTCGGGTCACTTCCTCAGAAGTTTTTTTTTAACCCTTTATTTTGCAACTCATCACCCACATAAACAAAGACTGCACAGTCAATAAGACCAAGACCACACAGCCAGTAAGTGTGCAATAACTGCCCAAGACCACACAGCCAATATGATGTCTGTTTGTACAGGTTTTTATTGTTGTCTCCTGGATTCTGGCAACAGCATTTAGGGGCTCTGATCTAACATGGGGTTAGTCAAAATAGACTTTCCAAGACTACTAGAGGCTGCAGGGCCGGTAATGGTGTCTGGGTTAGTCCTGACGACTGTGTGCCCGTAAGAACATCCAGCTTTGGCTTTGGTGTGGTCAAGTGTCTTATGTGTATGGACACTGGATTTTTTTTTTCTTTTCTTTTCTTTTTGAGACGGAGTCTTGCTCCTGTTGCCCAGGCTGGAGTGCAGTGGTGCGGTCTCGGCTCACTGCAACCTCTCTGCCTCCTGGGTTCAAGCGATTCTTCTGCCTCAGCTTCCAAAGTAGCTGGAATTACAAGCATGTGCCACCACACTTGGCTAATTTTTGTATTTTTAGTAGAGACAGGGTTTCACCATGTTGGCCAGGATGGTCTCAATCTCTTGACCTCATGATCTGCCCGTCTCTGCCTCCCAAAGTGCTGGGATTACAGGCATGAGCCACACCACATCTGGCCTGGACACTGGATTTTTAAAGATACTAAGGAATTATTGTTCATTTGTTTTAGTGCATTAGTGGTGTTGTGTTATATGTTTTTTTAAAAGACTTTTAGAGATGCATACTGAAATGATTATGAATTAAACATGATGTCTAGGTTATGTTTCAAAATCATTGTTGGAAGGTGTGGATGAAACAAGGCTGGGGGCTCATTATAGCATTCTCTCTACTTTTGTATATGTGTGAAATTTTATATATATTTATTTACTCACTTACTTTGAGACAGGGTCTTGCTCTCTCACCCAGGCTGGAGTGCAGTGGCGTGATCGTGGCTCACTGCAGCCTCAAACTCCTGGGCTTAAACTATTCTCCCATCATAGCCTCCTGAGCAGCTGGGACCACAGGTGTGTGCCACCACGCCTGGCTAACTTTTAAATTTTTTTTTTTGGTAGAGATGGGATCTCACTACACTGTCCAGGTTGGTCTTGAAGTCCTGGGCTCAAATGGTCCTCCTGCCTTGGCCTCCCAAAGTTCTGGGATTACAGAAATTTTCTAAAATAAAAATGTCTGAATCTTAAAAAACTCTTTTCACCTTACATTTGGATAGGTCACACCTGCCTCCCACTCTCCAAGAACTCAGCAGATTATTGCTGAAATAGGAGGCGTTTTGACTATTATCACTTGTAAGCTGTGGAAAATAAAGTACCACCACCATTGGGCAGGCAATGTAAAAACAAACAAAAATCCCTGCAGGCTGTGGGAATGGCACTAGCAGATTTGTGTAGCCCCGTGGCAGAGGTGGCAGTGGCGTGAGGGGCTGAGCTTTATCCATGGGGCAGGCCGTACTCTGGGATCAGGCCTTCCATCCTGAAGTAAAGCACCTCTGGGGTGCTTCTCCACCAGAGGCAGTTGGCAGTCACCAGCTTCCTTACTTATAAACAGTTTGGCCGTATCGCGAAGTAAATACGTTCTTTTGTTCATTTGTTTAAGTATTCATTTACTCTTTCGTCCCTCTTTTTTTTTTTTTTTTTTTTTTTTTGAGATGGAGTGTCGCTCTGTTGCCCAGGTTGGAGTGCAGTGGCGTGATCTCGGCTGACTGCAAGCTCTGCCTCCCAGGTTCACGCCATTCTCCTGCCTCTCGAGTAGCTGGGACTACAGGCGCCTGCCACTATGCCCGGCTAATTTTTTTTTTTTTTTTTTTTTGTATTTTTAGTACAGACAGGGTTTCACCACGTTAGCCAGGATGGTTTCAATCTCCTGACCTCATGATCCGCCTGCCTCCGCCTCCCAAAGTGCTGGGATTACAGGTGTCAGCCACCATGCTTGGCCTCTTTCATCCCTCATTCTTCCCTTTTTCTCACCACCTATATCCAACCAACGCTGTGATTGAATTTGCCTCCTAAATACCTCATATTTGCTCATTCATGGCCATGGCCACTACCCTAGTTCAAGCTGCTGTCATCTCTTACCTGGGTTATTGCAATGCTTCCTAACTGGTCTCTCACTCAGCACTCTTACCTTGGCTTCCTGAACTTCCCATCCGTTCTTCTGATCATGTCACTCATCCCTGTGTACATGGCTTGCTCTATCACTAAGGTTAGTTACCTCTTGGTTCAAGATGGCTGCTAGAACTCCAGCCATCATATCTTAATACAGACCAAAAGAAAAAGCACAAGAGCCAAAAGGGGGACTCTTCCAGCTGAGTCAGCTCCCTCCATTTAAGCAACCTTCCCAGCAGACCCAAATAACACTTCTACTTAAATCCAGTTAGTCAGAATTTGGTCACATGGTCATACAAGGGAAGCTGAGAAATAGTTTTTTGTTCTGGGTGGCAATATACTCAGCTAAAAATTGAAGTTCTTTCAAAATTTTACATATAGCATTATATGATCCAATTTATATACCATTCTTGAAATGACAAAATTATAGAAATGGAAAATAGATTGATAGTTATCAGGGGGTGGGGAGAGAAGGAAGTGACTGTGGCTACCAAAGGGTAGCACCAGGCATCCTTATGATAGAACTGTTCTGTATCTTGACTGTGGTGGTGGTCGTCATGAATCTACACAAGTGATAGAACTGCATAGAGCTAAATATATACATGCACACATACGCGTGCACACATGCATATGTTCATGTAAAACTGGAGAAATCCAAATGTCACTAGATTGTATCAGTGTCAATTTCCTGGTGTGATATTGCACTACAGTTTTGCAAGATGTTACCATTGGGGGAAACTGGGTGAGGAGTATATGGCATCTGTACTATTTCTTACAAATGCACGTAAATCTACAGCTGTCTCAAAATAAAACATTGAAGAAGCAAAAATGAGAGAGGGGAGGTGTCATAAGCAACTAGTGTCTCTGCCGTAAATCTAACCTGTTCCCCGCTATAAGAAGTCCAAGGTTCTCAGCATAATCGAGGCCTTCATGACTTGGCAGTAAGGTGCTTCCTAAGCAGTCCATACCTTGCTGGGTTAGTGCTGACTGCATTAAAGCATCGACTTCTAGAGAGCAGGCCCCAAAGCTGTGGCTGGTATTTGTGAAGCACTTGCCTCTTCACCTACACGGCCCTGAAGAGAGCCACTGAAATGGACATCTCTTACCTTCAGAAGCCTCTGTTCTGAGAAAGCACCGGTATTTGCAGGCATGTTGCCCACTGAACAGAGAATGAAAATGGCTTTGTCTAATTGAAAGGGGCAGTGAGCAAAGAGGGACTTTGGAGACCTGCAGGTTGCTGTAGTGACTGCAGTGACAGCAGGAAGTACTGAAGCATATTTCCAAGTGGTTTTTAAAGAACTCCATCCTGTCATCTTTGTCCATGTTCTGGAGCTCTCTTCCTTAAGGCATCAGCCAGCACCAGCTGCTTTCTCACCCCTGGGCAGACTTGCTGAACCTCACTGTGCCCCCATGGGGAAGGAATTAAACCACTTGTCAGGAGCTTGTGCTCAGCCGGAACGCTGCCCGAGGCTTTTCCACAACAGCTCTCTGAGACTCTCGGTTGCCCCGAGGAGGGACACACACGTTGCAGGGCAGGTGCTGCCAGCTGAGGGGTGCTGCGGGCAGCCAGGCCTGATGGAATGTGAGAGGCTTCTTGGGCTACCGGTCTGGCCGTCCCAGTCCTGAACCCATGGACTCCCAGGGAAGTGGGCCGGGGGTGGGGGCTCCAAGGATGGGCTTTAGGGGTTTCATGAATTTTCTAAACTTGTAGGCAGAATTCCCTGTGTGCTTTTTTCTCCAGGAAGAATGTCCATAGCCTTCATCAGATTCTCAAAGGCAGCCACAAGCTCCTAGAAGCTGAGAATGAGCCCCAGTGATACAGAGAGTGGGAGGCTGGAGGAGGAGTGCTGAGGGAGTTGAAGGTAAGGGCTGGGTACCGCAGGGAAGCAGCTAGAGCAGAAGAGCGGGTGAGAATGCACTGAGCTTTGACTGGTGGGCTGAGCTGATGGAAGCCACACTGATCCTCCCGGTTCCCTGTGGGGTGAGATGTCCTGAGCATCTTTCAGTCCAAGCAGAAGTCATGGCCAGGACAGCCTGTTTCCACCCGCAGACCCTGAACGAACTCGTCTCCATGCTGTCCCCATTGACCTCATTCTTAGTCCTGGCTGAGTGAATCCCTCAAGCTAGGGAGAGTTTCCCTCAGCCCCCGGGCCCAACTGTTCCACCGAAAAACATTCCGAAAGTGTTACCGGTAGAGGATCTTGACTGTAAGTTATCCAGGTTCTTGGCGTTTTGAACAAAGAATTGGACGAAACGCACAGCAAAGCAAGGAAAGAATGAAGCAACAAAAGAATGAAGCAACAAAAGAATGAAGCAACAAAAGAATGAAAGCAGGGATTTATTGAAAATGAAAATACACTCCACATTGTGGGAGTTGGCCCAAACAGCCAGCAGCAAGCTCAAGGGCCTGGATGCAGAATCTTCTTGGGTCCAAATACCCACTAGAGGCTCCCCATTGGCCACTTGACTCTCACCTCATTTAAATGAAGTGGTGGCCCACAATGGGTCAGAGGCTGAAGTGAAGTTACAAAGGTCGCACTCCTGTGCAAACATCCGATTGGTTGCAAAAAGCAACCAATCAGAGGCTAAGGTGAAGTTACAAAGTTGCACTTCTATGCAAACGAAGACTCGGCCTGCAATCAGTCTGATTGTTGCAGACAGCCAGTTTCCCATCTGCCAGGCAGAAAAGGTGGGAATTTGCAAAGGGAGTAGCCTCTGGTCCTTTTGTTACTTAGGCGTGGAAAGTTAGGGTTTTCCTTTCAATTTAGTTCTAAGAAGTCAGCGTGAAATGCTATTCTCTTGCCTCAATCGCAGTTCCCCCTGTGAAAGCCCAGCGCACTTATAATTGTGGCTAGTGTCTGTAGTTTCCTGTTGAGGGGAGCCTTGCTTGTTTTGTCTAATTTTAGCCCCAGTTATAGGCTGGTACAGTGCCTGGCATATGATCGACACTCACACTCAGTATTCAATAAATATCAGTAGGATAGATGGATGAAAACATAAAAGAGTGTGTTGTCTTATGAGTGTGGACAGATGCCCAGAGAATACTTTGAGGACCCTCAGGAAAAGAGCTGGGGCCGACCTTTAATCTAGCAGTAAAGAACAGGACAAAGATAAGTGTGAGCGTATGAAGTAACTCTATTGAGGTGAGGCTGAATTTTACTACCCTCAGAATACCCCCCCGGGGTCCTTGACAGAGAAGATTTATTCACATTAATTCTTTGCTGTAAATTCAAAAGCAGACAAGCCTGAATGAATTGATCAGATGGGGTGGGGGTTGGGTGGCATTAGGGAAATAGTTACATATAAGGGTTTGGGAAATAGTTACATATAAGGGTTTGGGAAATAGGTGCATCATAGATTCAAAATAAGAGGCCTACACTTGGTGCTGGTCTAGTCAACGAGTCAGTATTTCTTGGACAGCTTATTCTGTGCCAGGTGCTGAAGAGATAAGAGCAGTGTAAATTGTGGCCAGGAATCACATGAAAGAGAAACCACCTTCTGGCCAGGTGCAGTGGCTCACATCTGTAATCCCAGCACTTCATTGGGTGGCCGAGGTGAGTTGATCATTTCAGGCCAGGAGTTCGAGACCTGGCCAACATGGCAAAACCCCATCTCTACTAAAAATACAAAAATTAGCTGGGCATGGTGGTGCACACCTGTAATCCCAGCTACTTGGGAGGCTGAGGCAGAAGAATCACTTAAACCTGGGAGTTGGAGGTTGCAGTGAGCTGAGATCACACCATTGCACTCCAGCCAGGGCTACAGAACAAGACTCCATTTCAAAAAAAAAAAAAAGAGAAACCACCTACAACTTTACTGCTGTAGCATTCACTTACGGTCACTTATCCCTCAGCCCTGCCTGATAAAGAGGTAAGTGTGTGTATCAGCCCCGACAAAGCCTCTTCATTTCCATGAGGATGCCAGGCCTACTCTCTGCCTGGTCAACTGTCAAAATGTGAAATGGTCTTTAATTGGCAATATTGATGATTTTCCCTGTTTAATCTATCTGTTTAATTTAAATCTGTTTAATGTATTCAAGTGAAATTCATATATCATACAAGCACCATTTCAAAGTGTACAGTTCAGTGGCAGCACATTCGCAGTGTTGTACAACCACTACCCCTATTTAGTGTCACATTGCTATCGTTCCAAAATAAAACCCTATTGTATTTACCCATTAAGCAGTTCTCCCCAAGCTGTACCCTGTCTATGCATTTGACTATTCTGGAAATTTTACGCGAATGGAATTATGCAATAGGTGAACTTTTGTGAATGGCTCTTTTCACTTAACCTGTCTTGGAGGTTCGTCCATGTTGTAGCATGCATCAGAATGCCATTCTGTTCCATGACTGAGTAGCGTTGCATTGTATGAACCTCCCACAATTTTTGATCCATTCCTCCAACCATGAACACATGGCCTGTTTCCACCTTTTTGCTCTTGTGAATAGTGGTGCTCTGAACGTGCAGGTACCTGTATTTGTTTGAATACCCATCTTCTGGGTACACACCTAAGAATGGAAATCCACTTAAGTTTTTGCCCAAAAACTTCAAACATGAATTTACATTATGTCAGCAAATGCTTCTCAAAAGCTCAGTGAAGAGAAATATTACTCAAGACAGGTTTTTAAACTTCAGTTTTTGATGCAAAACTCTTTTGTCAAACAGCTGACCCTAAACTCTAACATGTAAAAACATAAAAAGGCAGAAATGCTGTGAGTGAGTTGGACAAGGAGGCCAGGAGCTCAGTGAGATGAGCCTCCGTGCACCATCCCCCACAGACCCGAAGAGCCTCTCGGACCTCCCGGGCTCTGGGCAGCGGTTCTGACGTGCTGCTGCACATGCCCCAAGCTCCAGATCAACGTCACCGGCCAGAAAACTGAAGGTTTGAACACTGCTGCTTCCCGGTACACTCCCTTCAAAGAGCGGTACCTGGGTGTCAGGTCCTCAGACTCCCCTGGGAGATACAGTAAGAAGCTGCTTTTTAAATATCTAATGGTGTAGTAACAGCTTTCACCTGTAGCTCTCAGCCTCCCCTTTAAGAGGATCCTCAGGAGAAATTCCTCTCAAACTTAGTGGAAAGAAAAACTAAGCTCCTCCACACTGTGATTTGGTTTAATTGACTGTATTTCTCTTTTCACGTTGGTTGCTAAGAAGCTCAGAGTTAAATCTGCAGCTCATGTCCTGCAGTTCTGTAGACTAGCCTTATGACTGGCTGCATGTTGCTATGCTACCCTTGCTGCGATCTTCATTCCATTTTTATCCCACTGAGTGTACAGATGCTCCTGGACTATGATGGGGTTATGTTCCCATAAGCCCATCATCACTTCAAAATGCATGTCATACCTTGACAAATCCATTATAAAGTCAAAAAATTGACCGGGCGCAGTGGCTGACGCCTGTAATCCCAGCACTTTGGGAGGCTGAGGCGGGCGGATCATGAGGTCAGGAGATCGAGACCATCCTGGCTAACACAGTGAAACCCCGTCTCTACTAAAAATACAAAAAATTAGCCGGGCGCGGTGGCAGGTGCCTGTAGTCCCAGCTATTCAGGAGACTGAGGCAGGAGAATGGCGTGAACCTGGGAGGCGGAGCTTGTAGTGAGCGGAGATCGCACCACTGCACTCTAGCCTGGGCGACAGAGTGGAAAAAATTATAAGTTGGGAACCATCTGTATTTCTGAAGCACCTAAAATCCTCTTTAGGTTGGATAGTTGTGAATACAGGTGTCTTCCTGCCATGAACTGTGAGCGCAGAACCCAGGGCTGACCCAGGTAAGATCATGAGGAGGCCAGAGCAGCCTCCTCACGCCCCACTCCAAGGAAGAGACAGCACCCCAGGACCATCAGGTGAAAATGGGTGAGCCCAAGGCCTTACACAGCTGTGATCAGTTTCAGTTCCGCCGACCCCAAGCACCTACTTGTGAACAGCATTTTATGGAATAAAAGGCCAAATGGGGTGATCCCAGGCCGCTAGGAATTCCAGAGGGTGAGGGAACATGTGCTTATGTGAGTCTGCAGTTCATGCAAAGAAGTGGAGTAGAGCACTGCGTGCCCCAGGAGCAGATGGAAGGAAGATGTTTTACGGACCATGGGATCTGAAAAAAATGAGAATTGGATCTGGATTTCCTCACAAGCGGTGGTAGGAAGGATAGTAGCATTCCAGGCAAGGGCAATCTCTTGAGCAAAGGCAGGTGTGCGGAAAGGTACATGGATCAGTATAGCTAGACACTCAGGCCACAAACTCAAAGGCCTGCAGGGCTGTGCAGTTAACATACATGTATAAGGCGTGAGGGGTGGGGGAAGGGTGTAAGGAAATAGGTGACAAGGGGCTTGTAGTGGGGCTGGGTACAACCCACCTGGTAACAGTGTTTCTTCAAACACTGGGGCATAGCCAGACAGACAGACAGAGGCCTGATACAGGCTCTGAGCTAGAGTCAGTCACAGGGTTTGGGAGGGAGGTTCATAAGGAGAGAGAAGGCTGACGCGGGAAGGCAGGGAATATTTAGGTTTCATCTCAGGCTGGAGGAGCCTTCAAAAGGTTTAGGCAGGACAGCAACCTAGTTATGTTTTAGAAAGTTACTTATAAAATTAAATGCTCTCAGTGTACACTCATATCGAAAAATGATGGAAAATATTAATGGTGATTAATTTGGGTATAAGAATCTGGGTCATTTTTATTTTCCTTACACTTTTATCTTTACCAATATTTATATTATTAGAACGGGATCAACAAAAGTCATATGAAAATAAAATATTTTATCCTGGCAGCAGTCTGTGAGGGGTGACCAGACCCTGAACCAGGGTGTTTGGTAGCAGGAGTAGAAGGAATGGGTTGGATTTCAGCCTTTTTGAAGAAGGCGTTAG